GGCGTGGCTGGACCCTGGCGTGGCTGGACCCTGGCGTGGCTGGACCCTGGCGTGGCTGGACCCTGGCGTGGCTGGACCCTGGCGTGGCTGGACCCAGGAGACAGTCCCCACGGCCCAGTGCTCAGCCTCTCCTTCCCTTAAGGGATCACAAGAATGTAACACGCTTGGAAAAACTGTCCACAAGGTTCAAGGCAACCCCATGGAGGGGGGGGGCTAGTGGTGCAGGGAAGTCAGACCCACCTTCACACCATGTGCAAGGCTCAGACCACAGACCCCTGGCTGATCTCAGAATAGGGGGAGACAGTGTTGACACCAGAGTGCAGCAAAAATGGAGATACATTAGACCTTATCTGCACCTTAAAAATCTCTGGTGCATCAAAGGGCATTATCAGGAAAGTTTATAAATAAAAATTACACCTCAACTGCCATGGAGTGCACGGCAGCTTCCCGCAGACTTAGAGGCTGTAAATCCTACCAGATGGAGACCCTTTACCCCATCTTTGCCCTTCGAAGCCACTGGTGGATTCAAACTGTCTGAACTGTCACCAGAGCTCCAGCTTACGGGGTGGAGGTGGGGGGATAGATTCAAATTAGATACCAGATCTGTGGGATACAAGGTGGACAACCTCTGTGCGATTTACCACCTTGGAGACCCAGGGGAGGGTCAGTGAGGGGTCTGCTCACACTCCACACCAACGAACTGAATTACAAGGATTTAGTGCCCACAATATACAAAAATCTGGTAAAACAAAGAGCCTGAATAGATTTGTTTTTTTCAAGAAAAATGAACAATAGACAAGAAGCCCATGAAAGACGCTCAGTGTCCTCAGATTCCATGTCAAAACCAGGAAAGAAGCAGAATTGCATGGCATGAATTACACAGGAGTGTAAAGCAGCGCCTTGGGCTGGTTCACTGAGGCTGGCGGCCCACCCCACCCCCAGGAGCCTCAGGAGAAGGCAGGTGAGCTCCCCAAAACAGCTGTGGCAATTCCATGGGGGCCACACACACAGGTCACCAGAAGCTGGAGTCCATGCAAACAACATCACATGGAGGGTACCAGCCATGTGCCTACAGCCCAGAGCAGTGCTGTCCCCAGAGGCCCTGAGGTTGTAACCCGTCTCATCTTCACAAGGAGCACCTGGTGGGTTCGAACCACCCATCTTTGGTTTAGCAGCTCAGTACTTACCCACTATGCTACTAGGGCTCCTGCTCACAGTACAGGGTCTAGGGGGTTGAGATGTCTTTGTGGAGGACACACTTTTATTCACAACACTGTTCGCTTCCTCCAGGGACCTAGCTGATGGCCACTCAGGTAATCTTTTCTCAAGAAAGACTCTGGGGTGATAGCAATCTGGAACAAGGGGTGCATTGCAAAGTGGACTAGGTGACAGGGAAGGAAGAAAATGTCCAACAATGAATGAAATTTTTTAAAAAACCAAAAGCTCCAGGGGCCTGGAACTGGGCTCTTTCAAGCTCAGGTTCTTCCCTAAGCTGTTTTCCCCTTGGCGTTCACCTTGGCCTGGAGCCTGGGACTGGCCCTCCTCACAGGAAAGTGGCATTTGGGCTTTGATGCCTCAGTAATCCTCTCGCCTTGAATTTCAGTCACACGGCCAGGCTGGGTCTCAGAGTTAATTGTTTCGTAATTTCTTTTTTCAAGAACAAGGTGTGCCCTTATGGTCTACACACCGGCCCTTCTGTTTGCTGTGGGGCAGACTCCAGCTGCTCTGAGCGATACATTGTTTCACTGGCTTTTCTGCTTCAGCACCTACTTCCTCCCCAGGGGCTCTGGTCAGCAGCCTTTGGCAAGTTCCTCTGTCCCCTTTCACCTCAGGTGCAGAGCAGCTTCAACCTCCAGGGCAGGAGCTTAGTCCTTGAAAGGTAATCACCTTTTACAGCCTCAGCCTGAAGCTCGTCAGCAGCCTGGCCAGCCTCAGCTCAGCCCTGCAGAGAACACTGCGTGTTCCCCCAGCGTGACCACGGAAGACCTGCTTGAAATTGCCCACCCCCAGCCTGCCCAGGCCAGCTGCCCAGGTACCACAGGGTACCTCCCTTGCCCACAGCAACCTCTCTCTCCTTCCCCATCAGGCCAGCCCTGCATGGTCATGGTCACCAGCGTACTGGGCTGCCTGACTGGGTCCATATGAATGAATGTTCACCACATGGTCACGGAACAGAAAAACCCTTCTTCAACAAAACACTCACAGAAGGCTAGCACAATCTCAGCTCCAAAATGAAATTTTGGGGCCAATCTGGGATGCTAATGTGGTTTGCAGAAACCTAGAGGAACTGCCTGAATTCAGGAAGCATGGACCCAGGTCCACACTAGGCTTCTAGGAGACAGTCAGATACAAGGATGATTGTATATTGAAAGCCCAGGGAAGCAGGCAGAAACAGTGTTGTTACAATGTGACCAAGGCACAGAATGTCAGCAGCCTATGTGTGGGAGTGGCTGACTGGAAACAAACTTGCTTTGTAAACTTTCACTCAATTCACAATTGAGAAAAAAGAAAGACATTTGATTATACAGAAAAACACAGGAACCCCGGCCGTGTAAGGCGGGGACCTATGAGGAAAGGGGGACA